CCACAGTAGAGAGAAAACGGGCCAAGATTTTATTTGCCACGAATTTCCCATGGGAAAGTGTTTCTTTAGGCCTTAAACACAGCTAGTACATTTTAAATTATGTGAACGTAAACCTAGGAAAACTTCATAACAAAAAGATCCCAGCGGATCTTTTTGTTATGGAGTTTTACCCTTGATGTAATAAGAGTAAATCAAAGAAGCAAACACCACTCCCACGAGCCTTTCTCGGGCGGGGAAGGTGCCAGAGCTACAGCTTCCTACCATCTACAGCTCACAAGACTGCCATTCCCACGAGCCCCCCTGGGGCGGGGAAGATGGCAGACCAGAGGCCTAGTTTCTCCCTACGAGCCCCGTGAGGGCGGGGAATGGGGCTAGGCCTGGGGACAGCTGGTCCCAGAAGATCAGGAGGTACTTGTACCTCCTCCCATGGGAGACATAGGTCTCAGACACTCCCAAGACAAGAAGCCAAGGCCGGGAGTACCGGCGAATCAAGAAGAGGAGTAAATCAACGATTATATTACTACAGTGACCGTGGAAATAGCAGCCGACAGTCTGGCATGGTATGAAAGACAACTGCCTGACCTAAATTAATTCAACCTGAACTATTTCCTCTGAACAACAAATAACCGTCTATACATGTCTATAATTCGTCAAGGTAAAGTCATCAGCAGTACGGTAATTCTCACGCGTGATAATAGCGCCGGCAGATAATTCCACGGCTAGCGTGGGAAGTCACTCGTTTTCTATTTACACGATTTTATATGTGATGTACATGTGGCCTGTTTCAAGAGTTTTCCTAATTTGTCAGCTATGCCTACCGGATCAGGAAGACTGTTGCTGCTGGCGACCCGCTGGCCTACATATCCATCACAGCCCGGTTGATCTGGCACACAACAGAGGTAATAAACCAGTTTCTTCTCAACACTTCTACACTTGTTCCATCCATATTTCTGATATCTACTGGTAGCAGGTTAAGTAGTGTTGGACCACATTCAATGTAGTCCATCCGTTCCTCCGGAGGCTGAGCTTCTATATCTGTCAATGTTTGCCTTCTCTTCCCTTCCCACTTCTGGCGTCTTTGTGCTCTCAGTTCTCGCTTCTTTCTTGTTCTGTCCTAGTCGAGGTACACCCACCGTCGGGAATCGAGCATGACTTTCGTTGATTCCCCGTTATTCCTAAGTCTCGGGGAGGGGGAGGGGTGTAAAGACGTTAGAGTTGGGGGTACCGGCGGTATTTTTCCATCTCCCTTAACTTTGGTTTCCGTAGTGTTAACCAGTGAAAAAGCATGGGTGCACATGGCACCCATGCTTTTTCACTGGTTATATTTTACTTATATTTTACACTTCTTCCCATAGTTCTCACTCCAGTTCGCACACTAACAGCACCTTTCAAGGCAGGTGAAATTGCCGACCTAGAAAATGTACAGAGAACTTTCACGGCGCGCATAACGGAGATAAAACACCTCAATTATTGGGAGCGCTTGAGGTTCCTAAACCTGTATTCCCTGGAACGCAGGAGGGAGAGATACATGATTATATACACCTGGAAAATCCTAGAGGGACTAGTACCGAACTTGCACACGAAAATCACCCACTACGAAAGCAAAAGACTTGGCAGACGATGCACCATCCCCCCAATGAAAAGCAGGGGTGTCACTAGCACGTTAAGAGACCATACAATAAGTGTCAGGGGCCCGAGACTGTTCAACTGCCTCCCAGCACACATAAGGGGGATTACCAACAGACCCCTGGCAGTCTTCAAGCTGGCACTGGACAAGCACCTAAAGTCAGTTCCGGATCAGCCGGGCTGTGGCTCGTATGTTGGTTTGCGTGCAGCCAGCAGCAACAGCCTGGTTGATCAGGCTCTGATCCACCAGGAGGCCTGGTCTCAGACCGGGCCGCGGGGGCGTTGACCCCCGGAACTCTCTCCAGGTAAACTCCAGGTAAACTCCAGTATGAATGTTATTTTGGTGTACAGATTTGGAACTAGGCCCTCTTTTCCCCCATTAATATACATTTTTGTCGGCCAGGGACAGAAACTACCGACCTTACTGACGAGAGCTGCGACTCTCACTACTTTACTTTTATTAAGGAACTTTTTGTATTATTGTTAGCAATCATATTTTATATTAAAAATACATCACGCTGTGAAGGCTGAAGCACAGTATCGAAATATTTTAAAAATTCTGGTATTCTTGAGAGACTGTCTGTCACTGTTGTATATACCGGCAGCCTCACCCTTTTAGATAGGCTTAATTTATCAAAGCGATTTACTGCATAAGAAAAATCAACGAGTCTAATATATGCAAATCCTTGTATAAGAAATAAAGCTTATTCTTCTGGCACTGATAAATTAACCTAAATTAAATATTAATATCTTAAAATATATGCATAAGCTGATAAACCAAACCATGCCACAAATGCAAGTTTTTACAGATGAATCTCCCGCTAGCATGGCAGTGACGAACTCTAGCTCAAGTCCCTTCAAAGCCGTCAACATGATCGCGGGTTCAAACCCCACCCGTGGTATGGTTTGTTTGCAATCGTGTCATTACGATTTCGTGAGTCATAAGCTGATATGTTGTACCACTTGCAAACTTTAAGGCAATTCAAACATTAGATTTGTAAAAACGTGTAAATTAAACCTGAATAAAGTAATACAATACAAATACAATCCATTTTCAAAATTGAGCTGACAGCTGCCTAGAACGCTGACACTGTTGTGGATTTTTTTTTTTAAGAATTTTCGTGTAATTAGTGCAATAATAATAATGTAAGTGTTTATATAACGTAGTGTAAATGTGTAGTGCTGATGTGACTTTTTAGATAATATCAAGTCATAAAAATAACTAATATTCAAGGGGTAGCCGGGGAATAATGGCGTAATGTGTTGTTTTAACGAGTGATGCTAATTGAATCGTGATTAATTGTAGTTGATAAGAATATCAGCGTAAATTTAGTTTTGGAAAGCGAGTTAATGTGGAGAGCATCTGGAACAATACCCATGTATACTGTAAATGTCAGATTAAGGCGGATATGAGAAAAATGAGACGCGGGTTGACAGGATCAAGAAGAGTCTACCGCGGGGAGATTAATAGTGTATTCGCCCATGATGACACTCTTCAGGTCGCTTGTTCTATCTAGGCTGGAATATTGCTGCACACTAACAGCACCTTTCAAGGCAGGTGAAATTGCTGACCTAGAAAATGTACAGAGAACTTTCACGGCGTGCATAACGGAGATTAAACACCTCAATTACTGGGAGCGCTTAAAGTTCCTGAACCTGTACTCCCTGGAACGCAGGCGGGATACATACATGATTATATACACCTGGAAAATCCTAGAGGGACTAGTACCAAACTTGCACACGAAAATCACTCTCTCCGAAAGCAAAAGACTCGGCAGACGATGCAACATCCCCCCAATGAAAAGCAAGGGTGTCACTAGCACGCTAAGAGACAACACAATAAGTGTCAGGGGCCCCAAGACTGTTCAACTGCCTCCAAGCATACATGAGGGGGATTACCAATAGACCCCTGGTTGTCCTCAAGCAGGCACTGGACAGGCACCTAAAGTCGGTACCTGACCAGCCGGGCTGTGGCTCGTACGTTGGATTGCGTGCAGCCAGCAGTAACAGCCTGGTTGATCAGACCGTTCCACCATGAGTCCTGGTCACAGACCGGGCCGCGGGGGCGTTGACCCCCGGAACTCTCTCCAGGTAAACTCCAGGTAAACAGGTAATGCAACTATTTACTGGATAATATTAGTCGTCTACCATTAAGGAAGCGGTAGGATGTAAAGCCCAAGGAATAGCTGGGTAAATTAATTTTTATGAATATTTATGTTGTAATAATTTTATACAATCCACACATAATTTGCAGTGTTACTGGCTTGATTTTTATCTAGTAATTATTCAGGTACCATATGTTCCTAATTTAAGGTCCAGACAGTGAGAGTTTTGGGAGGTGAGAAGGTGGGCATCGGAGGGACAGTGATGCGACCCACTGTTCCTAAAGTCCCACTTGTCTCTGAGGTACATCTATGTTAATAAGTGTATTCTGTTTTTTGATGTGCCAGAGTTCTGCCCAATTATGTGTGAGAGTTAATTCAGGATTGTACCTGTAAAATTCAACACACAATTTCTAACAACTGTAATCTAGCCTGAGGTATTGACCAGATGCAGGTGTTAACTTATTTATATTAAAGGCATTACCATTTGACCATCACCTTGAAACATTTTTGATAAACACAGTGGGAGGCAAACCTGATTAAACTAGAACTACAAGCAAATCTTCAGGCTGCAACAGCTAGCAGTAAAAAAAAAGGTACCTAGACATAACGGGACGGCCATGGGTGGCACACTGGGGGCGGGGAAGTAGTAATATAAATGCATAATCTCCTGACGTGCTGAAAGTCGAAGCCTGGCAAAAAGAACCATTGTATAATATAAGAACTAGTGTAGACGAAGTTAACCCTTAAATGTTGGGGTAAAATGCAACTGTGATCTGAAAAAATACGTAGCCAAACAAGGAAGGTGCCTTGATGCTAGTGAAGGTATCTTAATTCAAGGAACTGGAGCTTACATTCCCTTCCCAGGATAAAACCTGTTTACCTTACATTTCCCAGGCGCTCTACTACGTCAATGGGTATAACGCTTCCCCGTAAATATATGATGTTGATACCAAATGTGTTGAGTGTGATAGGCTTACAACCCGTGTCTAAGACACTTCGTCGCCATCATGTTGGCACAAAATTTGACAAATATAGTATATTGAAACCAACAAAACAAAATGTTATTTATATAAAAAAGTAAAGATGATGATGAAGAACTAAAATAATACTGAATATAAATAGACAAATTTTACTTTACGGTATTACTTAGGAAGCTGGAAGTATAGTCTAAAAACTGCCCTTAATTCTAGTACTTTAAATTTTGTGGTCCAAAGCCGAAAATTACTGGTAGAACATGGAAGGTGTGCAAGCGCACAGTTCAACACTTACCTAGGTAGCTATAACTGTGTTCCACTGAAAGCTTCCGGCCACAGGGGAACACGTTCTTCTGGCAATAGAGGTCAGAATTGTATGGGTCAGGGTTCTGGAATGATTCCTGGTGGTAGATATGGTGGTGTTCACCCCTGACTTCCTGGTATTGATGATTCCTGACGATGATCTGCTGTCTCCCAGCTGCTGCTGCTGCTGCTGCTGCTGCTGCTGCTGCTGCTGTGGCTGGATAGCGTGTACTCCCGCACTCTAACTCTTCGTTTTCGACGTGGTAATATCCCCCAGCCTTAGCAGAGATTTTGGAAAGTTTCTTGTGATTCTTTTGGTGGTGATGAGCCTCCTGTTGGGGGCGAGGGTTGAATGGCATGGGATTCTGCATGGCAAACAAGAGGTGACTCTGAGATGCATGGGGGATTGTGGAAACATAGACCACACAGCGAAGACCAGCCGAAGAAAGCAGTTAAGGGGTTAATCAAAAGACAGAGATAGAGTAATGCAAGAGATAGTCAAGAAAGGATACGATGCAAGGAAAAGCTCAGTGGTAAAGGAATACGAGAAAAATCCCAGGATATGAGTAAGCAATAAGACGAACACGATAGATGATTCAGTTTTCAGTCTCTTACAAGCGAGTCAACTCATTTCCACTGAAATTCTAGTTCACATTAAAAGATTCTGGCTATAAACCAGCAAGTAAACTTTTACCTCTAACATTGTTAACTTAAAACCTTTGAGCACTGGGCAGCACAAAGCCACCATTCCAATCTATTGTCTTGCTGGTATCTAGTGACTAACCCAGCCTTCAGTACCTAACACTGTTTCCTTGTTGAGTGTTCTTGTATTATGAAATTGTTTAACTTCACATGAATGACACTTCATGTTTATGAGTTACAAGCACAGATTTCAGTTCGTCTCTCATGCAGTCATCTAGAAATTTAAGTAATTCCTTAGTCTCAATGCAGAACAGTGTCAAGTACAACACTCAGGAATTTCTTCTGGTTGATGAGGCATTTTCGTACATACGCATGAATACCCCGGAAAACTTTCTCCGACTTTCAACAGCTTTCTGCTAACAGTCCTAGTGACATAGGAGTTGTAAGTGTTGTCCCAGCAAACAGTGACTTCGTGAAGTGAATATTGACTTTGGTGACTGCAACCAGCGAACAATGCTTGCACTACGATTTAGCTGAAGCTCACACTTAAACATTTTTCTTCGTAAGCTTTCACTGTGTAATTAGATGAACTTGTGGCTTGTGCTTCAGGTACAACCATAACTCCATGGCAGCATGATCTGGAAAGAAAAGTGCTACAATTATCTACACAAATTTATCGTTGAATACATATGCAATTGCCAAAATGAATTCACTGTAACTGAACAACTACAAGACAATTAATCCATTCTTACATTCTCTCTCGCTTTCTCTTATACTATCTCTCCCTTTCTCTCCTTACACTCTCATTCTCAGCCGCTATCACCATAACACTGGAGGAGAGGTGGGTGAGGTGGATCACCACAACTCTGGTAGAGAAGAACGCACAAATGCAATTTAAATTCACGCAAACTAAAGTAGCTACAACTAAACAATTATAACTACGGAATTTCAATTAAGAAACGACAATTAAGCAGATACAATTAATCAAGTGCAATTAAGTCATGTTAAGTTATTACAAGCCAGCAATTAGAACGCAGTATTCGTAATTACAACCCAGTAATAACGCCTCAGTAATTACAACAAGGAGCGCACAGATTAATAATAACCATGAACGTGAAAAACTCGCTCACCTACCTACCAGCTGAATTCAGTTCTAATATTAACTCAACCGAGCTCTAACAATTGTTGCCAAAAACAGCAGCAGTGTGACCAAATTGATCAAGTACACCCAGGCTTCCCTTTCATTGCACACTAGTGCAAACGTTACACAAAGCTCTCAACCGTAAAATAGACAAGTATCCAAGGCAGATTGACCGTCACGTAACATGCCTGTGACTGGTTTCCATGGTGGTTCTACCCTCGAAACCGGGAACAGGACCATCCCTCGAAACCCGGAACAGGGCCATCCCTCGAAACCCGGAACAGGGCCATCCCTCGAAACCCGGAACAGGGCCATCCCTCGAAACCCGGAACAGGGCCATCTCTGGAAATCCGGAACAGGGCCATCCCTCGAAACCCTGAATAGGGCCATCCCTCGAAACCCGGAACAGGGCCATCCCTCGAAACCCGGAACAGGGCCATCCCTCGAAACCCGGAAGAGGGCCATCCCTCGAAACCCGGAAGAGGGCCATCCCTCGAAACCCGGAACAGGGCCATCTCTCGAAACCCGGAACAGGGCCATCCCTCGAAACCCTGAACAGGGCCATCCCTCGAAACCCGGAACAGGGCCATCCCTCGAAACCCGGAAAAGGGCCATCCCTCGAAACCCGGAACAGGGCCATCCCTCGAAACCCGGAACAGGGCCATCCCTCGAAACCCGGAACAGGGCCATCCCTCGAAACCCGGAACAGGGCCATCCCTCGAAACCCGGAACAGGGCCATCCCTCGAAACCCGGAACAGGGCCATCCCTCGAAACCCGGAACAGGGCCATCCTCGAAACCCGGAACAGGGCCATCCTCGAAACCCGGAACAGGGCCATCCCTCGAAACCCGGAACAGGGCCATCCCTCGAAACCCGGAACAGGGCCATCCCTCGAAACCCGGAACAGGGCCATCTCTCGAAACCCGGAATAGGGCCATCCCTCGAAACCCGGAACAGGGCCATCCCTCGAAACCCGGAACAGGGCCATCCCTCGAAACCCGGAACAGGGCCATCCCTCGAAACCCGGAACAGGGCCATCCCTCGAAACCCGGAACAGGGCCATCCCTCGAAACCCGGAACAGGGCCATCCCTCGAAACCCGGAATAGGGCCATCCCTCGAAACCCGGAATAGGGCCATCCCTCGAAACCCGGAATAGGGCCATCCCTCGAAACCCGGAATAGGGCCATCCCTCGAAACCCGGAATAGGGCCATCCCTCGAAACCCGGAATAGGGCCATCCCTCGAAACCCGGAATAGGGCCATCCCTCGAAACCCGGAATAGGGCCATCCCTCGAAACCCGGAATAGGGCCATCCCTCGAAACCCTGAATAGGGCCATCCCTCGAAACCCGGAACAGGGCCATCCCTCGAAACCCGGAACAGGGCCATCCCTCGAAACCCGGAACAGGGCCATCCCTCGAAACCCTGAATAGGGCCATCCCTCGAAACCCGGAACAGGGCCATCCCTCGAAACCCTGAACAGGGCCATCCCTCGAAACCCGGAATAGGGCCATCCCTCGAAACCCGGAATAGGGCCATCCCTCGAAACCCGGAATAGGGCCATCCCTCGAAACCCGGAATAGGGCCATCCCTCGAAACCCGGAATAGGGCCATCCCTCGAAACCCGGAATAGGGCCATCCCTCGAAACCCGGAATAGGGCCATCCCTCGAAACCCGGAATAGGGCCATCCCTCGAAACCCGGAATAGGGCCATCCCTCGAAACCCGGAATAGGGCCATCCCTCGAAACCCTGAATAGGGCCATCCCTCGAAACCCGGAACAGGGCCATCCCTCGAAACCCGGAACAGGGCCATCCTTGCTGACTGACCAACCAGGCAGTTGCTGATACTGTGATAGTCATAATAATAAATTAAGTAACATTTGAATATCTTTATTCTGGAAACGTTTCGTCATACAGTGACTTCTTCAGTCCAGAGCAGAAAAATGTGGAGTAAGAGGATGACACTGAGATGACACTATGACATGGTGGACCAACAACTGACATTGTGACATGGTGGACCAACAACTGACATTGTGACATGGTGGACCAACAACTGACATTGTGACATGGTGGACCAACAACTGACATTGTGACATGATGGACCAACAACTGACATTGTGACATGGTGGACCAACAACTGACATTGTGACATGGTGGACCAACAACTGACATTGTGACATGGTGGACCAACAACTGACATTGTGACATGGTGGACCAACAACTGACATTGTGACATGATGGACCAACAACTGACATTGTGACATGGTGGACCAACAACTGACATTGTGACATGGTGGACCAACAACTGACATTGTGACATGGTGGACCAACAGCTGACACTGTGACATGGTGGACCAACAGCTGACACTGACAATGATGGACCAAGAGCTGTACCAGTGGCAGAATGCATGCAGTTAGTGGAAGACAGATTTATGGTGTGGGCGCATGTTACTGTAAGACACAGCAGCACCACGAACAGCACCACCGCCAACAGTAGCAGCACAACCACCAACAGTAGCAGCACAACCACTAACAGCAGCAGCACAACCACCAACAGCAGCAGCAGCAGCACCACGACCAACAGCAGCAGCAGCACCACGACCAACAGCAGCAGCAGCACCACCACCGCCGCCAGCACCACCACCATCACAACCACCAACAGCAGCACCACCACCACCAGACGAGGACATCCACTGACATCTGAACTAGTTAACGAGACTCGCTCTTTGCAGAAGTTATCTATAAATCCAGCTCAAAATCCAATGCCTCTAAATAGAATTAATCTGTAGAACCTGTTGACATGCCATGATTAGTTTTAACTTCGCTGAATATTATACTGTATTAACGACTGACAGTAAAAATGATCCTATACAGCATTCAGACATTACGCTTCGGCACTGTAGATTTATTGTATACACTGAACACAGGTATGTGAAGAAGCCTATCAAACAGCAAGGTGGATGGTGATGCACACGCGCGCGCACATTCGTTGCCCCTGATTGCCTCTCAAGTCTTCCTGGGCATATCAATAAATGCATACATTATAGCAGTTAGGCAGCGGTCAGAGGAGGGAACTTTGCATGCGGTTTATGGAACTTCTGAGAAATTCAGACAATCTTCCCCCCTCCGTCCCCCAGGCTGCATAGGATTGTTTGGGCAAAATCTGATAAATATTTACACGGTATGGCAGCGATCCAGGTTCTGAGTAGGCTGGGAGCAGCCCGGCACAGCTGATAAAATTATTTATTTGAAGACTCTCTTTATAAAGGAATTTGCTGAAAAAAGAGTGAAGATTATCAGTTTTTCCGTTTATTCTCAATAGCAAAGGAGACGTCTAGAGTTCAGAGTCAGCCACCCTCGAGTAAAAGGCGTTTTCCACAGATTCATGCCTAGAACTACAGCACGTATCGGAAAGAGTACGTAAGCAGTATGGGGAAAACGATCCAGTTTTTGTTTTAATGGGTGAGGCCTCTGTCTATGAAGTCGATGACGGGTATACAGACCGAGTCACCGGTAACGACTGTTCTTGAGAGCCAAGATCTGCCTCAGAGCCTCGAGCCTCCTGTATCCCCACCCCCTCCACTCACAGACACGCAAGACGGCATCCAGTTACCAACGAAACACGCAGGGAGACTCACCAACATACAGGGCAGCGAGCGGAGTCACAACTCGGAAGCAACAGGACTCCCTGCTACGAACCATCCTCACAGCTTAAACTCCCAGATGGAGCACTCTTAAGGAAACAGTAACCATGGGGTCGTGTCAAAGCATTCTGACTGAAAATTTGAACATAAGACGAGTGGCTGCGAAATTTGTGCCCCGCCTGCTGACTCGAGACCACAAAGACCATCGTTTTCTGGCCAAAAAAAAAAAAAAAAAACATGGCCACCCCCACCCTCTCTACTCCTCAGATCAAGGCCCCGTGAATTTTTTCTCTCCCCCAAAATAAAAATAGCACTCAAACGGCGGAGTTTTAACGACGTGGAAGAGATTGAAACAGAATCGCAAGCCACGCTAGACGCCCTTAGGAAAGAGTTTCAGACATTTTTTCGAGAAGTGGCAAAGGCTCTTGGATCAGTGCATAGCCTCCCAAGGAAAGTATTTCGAAGAAGACAACTTCAACTAGGTAATTAGGCAAGCCTATTTATTTTTTCCGAGGAAGTTCAGGAACATTTTTGATAGTACCTTGTATGAGTTTACCTGGAGTTTACCTGGAGAGAGTTTCGGGGGTCAATGCCCCCGCGGCCCGGCAAGTCTGGTATTTAGGTTTACTATTCTTTTTCGTACATTCACTGGTTTACTTGAAGATTCCGGGATCATCCAGCCGACAACTTGACTCTGGCTCAGGCCACAGGGATGAAAAACAGCACTGGAAACAGTGCTGTTTTTTCATCCTTCACGCATTAGGCATCATGGCCCGACTGATCTAAGGCCCATACTAGGCAGGTCCAGCTCGCACCCAGCCATCCGCCATGTATCTGTGGTACAGTGGGCCAT